AAATTTACAAAACTAGTTAGTAAAAAATAAATAAAGTATAGTTAAATAAAATATTTTTTGTGAGAAAAATAAAATAAACTAAGTTAAAATAAAAATCTAATTTTTTAATATATTTTTTATGATTTTTTAACATTAGGAAGAATATTTAAGAAAATAAAATGAAATAAAAAATAAATAAAAAAATATAACTGGGCCAGGGGCGTATAAGTGAAATAGGGGGTTAATCAGCAAAAACAAAAAAAAAGAGCCAGGCCCAAAGGGCCCAGCGCCTGCAAACAAATCAGAAAATGTCAAAAATATGTAAAAAAAATATAAAAATGGTCACGTTGGGGCTTGAACCCAGGACCATGGGGTGAACAGGTGCGCGCTTTACCACTGGGATGACTATACATCCGTTTATATAAACAAAACAATAAATATGTAATGCAAATCAACTCCTGATGACTTCATCTTCAACCTCCAGCCGGTGTGCCTGTAACTTCTTCATTTCTCAACAAAAATGGAAGATGACAAAATGAAAGTTGTTGCATTCTTCCTCACGAATCTAACCATGTAAATAACTAAAGCTAAAAGTCAAAGATAAATGAGAATTTCTCTGGCCCTAATTTGAACCCTAAAAAATTCAGAAACTTCAACTCTAAAATTGTCTAAGCTCAGGCCACGTAAATGCAAATTATGGATATGTATAGCTTCGTGGCAATGAGGTCTACATTTTATCTTCATAAATGCAAGCCTAACAATGCCTAATTAATGAGATAGAAGTTCAAGAAAAATACCTCAAAACTGGAAATCGTGAAATGGATTTGAGCTTGTTTCAGGTAGTGCTGGTGATCAGGTTAACTTCCTTGGACCTCTAGGAAGCTAATGCAATGGTTGGCTTGAGCTGAGGATGGCTGGAATGGTCTGAAGAAGTCCAACTGTGTTGCTCTGTTTTTGGTTATGAAAGACAAGGAAAATGGTGTTACAAAAGTGAAGCTGGTATAGGGATGAGTTACTCTTGATGCAAGGAAGCTTTAGAAACTAAAAGGCCAAGAAACACATGAGGGAAATGTGAGTTTGAGGTTCAAGGTCAGAAACTATGCAATAATGGAGTTTTTGAGCAATTTCTGATTTGAGAGAGTTTTGGTGTATTTCAGAGTGTTTAAACTTGTGTTCTAGCTCACAAATAGTGCTTCTATTTATAAGCAACAAGTTTGGAGACTTGTTATTGATCAGAATTTGAATTTGTATCCTTAAGCTAAACATGTGATTTTTTGAGAAAACAAGTTTCAATGCCTTGTGTACTTGCTAAGATAGAGTGATTATGCTTTAAACACACTTGCTTCTGACTTTGTAGATGAAGTGTGATTAGAGGGAACAAGTTAGAGGCTCAAGAGTGGACTTTATGCATAAAGCTTGCTTTTCAAGAATGGTATTGTTAATTTTCTTCCCAAAATGGCAATGTGAATTGGATAAAGCTTAAATCACTTGGATTATAGCTCAAAAGTTTATGTAATCCATTAATTATGGAGTGACAAAAAAGTTTGAGTCATGCAAAGCATAGATTATGGAGCCTAACATTGATTTGCATTTGTGTTCATCATGAAAATGACTTATAATTCAAGTGACAAAACACCAACTTCATCTCTTCGATTCTCCATACTCAAGAATTATCTCAAGGAGTTCTTGGACATTTTGGAAATCTTGAAATGTTCTCTACAACTCATCTTTGAATTTACTTTGAAGATTCCCCTTGGAACTATGTGAAAAATTGTCATGAAGTTAGGTAAAAAATCTGCCTAACTAGGGCAAAATTTCACTAAGTCTTTTTTAGTTCATGAGCATGTATTCATAAAATTATAACTTGAGATCCAAGAATTTTTTGAAGAAGTTGTGTGAAGAAAAGTTTTAAATTTCATGGAGATTTACAACTTTCATGTTGGAAGTTTCCTTTGAGTCATCTTGCATCATAATGAAAAAATTGCTCAAAGTTATGAAAAATAAGAAATTTTTGACACTTAGAAAAATTTCTAAGTTTAGAAATTTTGACTTTTCAAAATGAAATCTTGATTTATGGATTTCTTGATGAATAAGTTTCCTATTTTGACATGTTTTGATGAATTGTGATCTTTGGTGCTTAAATTTGACCTAAAAGTCAAAGTTTGACTTTTCAGTATTCAGTTGAATTTTGATCAGTTGACTGCAAAATTCATTTGTCAATCCAATGGATTTGCAATGTTTTGAATCATGTAATTATGTCAGAATGATGCAATTGGACTCTTGAGATCATGACTTAAACCAATTGACCATTTGCTAGGTCAAAAATCAGAAATTGCCCTTTCCCAGTCAAAACCCTAATTTTGACCATTTTGCCCTTTTGGAGATTTGATCAAATTTCTTGAGGAATTATGGTCCAAACTTGATCAAATGATACATGTGGGTTTAAAATGTTGATGTGGATCAAAAGTTGTGAAGTTTGACTGTAAATTGGCCATGGTTGACTTTTCCCCCAATACAATTGATTTTTAGGTCAACTACTCAATTGACTGAGTAAAAATGTGATCCAAGGCTTGAAACTTGACATGAATAATCTTGGGGGTCCATAATGGTCCATGAAAGTCATATGAAGCACTGATAGTTCAAAAATCCTTGTGCAAACTCAAACCCTAATTTTGGTCATCAGTGCCTAAGGAGTTGTCTTGAGCTGTTCATACCCTAGTGCAGTCTTGAGCCCAAGGAGATCTTGTGAGAAAATTCTTGATAAGCGAGAGGGCAAATTTTGGGGTATAACAGTATGCAAAAAATATTTTTGGCTTTTGAGGGAATGCGAAAATATTTTTATGGAGATGCAGTGCGAGGTTAGAACGAAGATAGACCTAAGGACACTCTACACGAGTTTTAGGGATATACATACACAATGTGAAACTCCTACAAGCTAGGGATTATGACTTATAAAAGATAATATATACAAGCTAAGGATTATGATAATCCAATGGACACATGAGATGATGATTTTACTTGAGGCAATAGCATGGAAGAGAGCACATGGTGACCGATCAACAATCACCAAATCCTATGGCCTGATATAGGACACATGGCATGCATTAACAAAGACGTCCTAAAGATAATGACTGATAAAAAAATGGAATCCCTACAGGCTAGGGATCATGACACACAAAAAGGAATCCCTACAGGCTAGGGGTTATGACATAGAAAGGGAAACTCTTATAGGCTAAAGATAGTAATCGACGAAAAGATAATCCTTGCAGGTTTAAGGATTATAGTGGGATTTTATGAAAGGTATCCTTAGTTGGTAGGTTCCTAGTGTAGGCCTACGTATATTCTACCCTCCCCATAAGGTAGTTTCCTTAAGGGTATCACGGATAACACTTGAGGGAAAGGCACAAGGGCTTCCCTTAAGTGGAGCCTCTTTGTAGACCAAAACTTTGGTCTCTAGCCCATGAAGGTCCCGCCATGAGATTTTGGTTTAAGGGTTATACAAAGAGTCATAGTTTTCATTCCAAAGTCCTACCCCTCAAGAGGATGTCTCTTGAGACGTATTTCTTTTTCGGAATTCTACCGACTCTATGCGAAATCGCCACATAAACTTATAGGGATGATGTATCCCCTTGGCTAATAGACGAACCTACTTTCTAAGGGTTTTTTTTGAAAAAATATTTTTATTAAAAGAATAAAAATCCCACCATCAAATGAATATAATACGATAAAACAAATAAATCAAAATAATAAATGAAAGCAAATATTGAAAACAATAAAAAAACCAAATAAAAACCCTAAACCTAAGAGGGAGGTTTCTAAACCCTAGGGTTGAGTCCTCAGTAAAGTCGCCAACTGTAATAACCAGCAAAAAATATAGAGTCACCACCATTAATTTTCATCCTAAGGAGGGATATAAAGGATAACCCTAATTTGATCAGAGATTCTATGTCGTTTGACTCGTTTTAGACAAAGAGATGATGTTAGGCACCCTTCATCTACCTTGTTCACAAGGATACTAGGGTTTAGAATTACGGTTTTAGGAAATAGGGTTTTAATTTTTATTAGGGAAACTTGCCACGATTTTAGTCATATGCTTACATATCCTCTTATGAGGAATCATAGTCTCAATTCGTAGTTCGTAGTTGGTTGGCGTTTTTTATGGAATACGAAGATATTTTGAATTCTCCTTGAACCAAGTATGGGTGTGTGAATATCGTAGTTGTTAGACAAAGTTTGCAGTTAACGAGAAATATCTCCATAATCCTTTTTTAAAATAATCTTGAGTTTATTAAGTTAGTAAAAATGGTTTGATCGTTGGTTAGCTATTTTAGGGTCAGAATATTAAGGTTGGGTGGTGTATTAGGAGAAAATGTGGACCCAAAGATATTTTGAGTCCAAATTGGCTGAGGGGTGCATTTTGCAAAAGGATAGTCAAATATGAGAGTCTGGCAAGTAAGGGCCCAAGTACATATATTGAATTGATCCCAAAATACAGATGGGGTGTAAACTTAGTTGAAGTGGTGTAATTTAACAAAAGAATAGAAAAATGGCCCAAGCCCATGGTGCAAATAAATCCTAAAATCTACATAATTTTAATGAAATAAAGTAAAATATATATAAAAAAATGTCTCACTTTTTCAACCTATTTTTGCTAAATAAAACATTTAAAACATAGGTCATATCCAAGTGACCCTTATGTAACATACAGACTAGGAGAGAATTATCGGCTACAATTTAAGATACATATAACATTTAAATGAAACTAGACAAAAATAAAATAAATAAGTTGAAAAGGTCAAACTTACTTGTTAAAATTAAAACTTTAAAAGCTAATAATGTGCTCTCTCTTGTTTAACACAAAACTTGAAAACAGAACAACAACACCTCCATTCTTTTGATTCTCACTATTAAAAAAAGGGGACTAACGAAAATTTTCAGATCTATCTCATTCGTATTATCAAATTCATCTTTTCCTCTCATATACCCTTTCTACTCATCTGCGACACTCTCCGAAAGCAGTGATGATCAGAGTGTTGCATCAGGGTGGTGGCGTGAGGGAGGTTATTGTCGGGAGGTGGACGGTGTCTCTACGTGTTGGCGACATGATCTGAACATGGTGAATGAAAGTTGCAGGGTCAGATCTGGGTGGTATTCAAAGGTGCTCGCGGGTTTATGGCCGATGCTGGATCCGTAGAGGCTATTCGCACTCAGTTTGGTGTGTGGCGATTCGTCGAAAATGGTGGGCGACTATGCAAAGGGCCAGATCCGAAAGGTGCGGCGGTGGAATGGGTTGGATAGTTGTTGTAGATTTTTCCTTTTTCCTGCTACAGCTATTATAATGAACCTGCAAAAAAGGATTTACAACTTGAATCTCATTGTTAGTATTGTTAGTATGATATGATTTTGAATGTAACAAGGGTGAAGATAACAATTATCTGGATTGTGAGAAATTGTGGATAGTGAAAAATTATGGATTTCTTGATGATAAATTGTGTGAAAAAATGACCTATTTATAGTGATAATTAGGTCAATAAATTAGGAAAATAAAATTGATTAGCAAATCAGATCTTCCTTGGTCAATAAGCTGACCAATCATAAACTGGTTATGACACAAATTGATACCAATTGACTAATAAGAAACAACTAATCAGAAAATGAAATATTTTTGATAATTATTATAGTTTTTGCACTAAATTTTGGTAAAAAAAGTGCATAAAATCAAATAAATAATTATTTTTAAAAATACCATAATAAAAAAATATGAAAATTAATATTTAAATATTAAAAATGATTATTTTGTGATTTTGGAAATAATTAAAAATAGAAATAGTTAGTAATAAATAAACAAAAATATTCAAAGTGCATCAATTGAGATTTGAACCCTTGACCCTATGCTTCCAAGCTATGCTTTCTTACCAATAGAGCTATATTATTTATTTGAAATAAAAAGCCAATTGTAAGTATTTGAAGACGAGCAATTAAGAATACAAATAATCTGAAATACATTATTATATTTTTAAATAGACTTGAAAACGAATATTTATAAAACCCAAAATGTCAGGGTAACCCAAAAGAATTTTATAAAACTCTAAGCTTCAAAATAATTTTGACTGTAGCACCAAGGCGGACAAATTTGGATATGACAGATACGCGCATCCAACCTTTCTACGTCAGTCTCTTCCATCTCTGAATAACTCAACTCCGAATTCTCTTCTTGATAATGAACCTCATTTGCTTGATATTCATGAATGTCAACAACATTGAAAGTATTGAGTATATTCATGCAATCCGAAAGAGCCACCACATAAGCATTATTATTCATCTTCCTGGTTACTTTGAATGGACCATATTTAGTGTGGTTGTAGTTTAAAGTAAGTACTAACTGGGAACCTTTCCTTATGCAGAAACACCATCACATCGTCTCCTACGTTGAAAACTTTAACTCTCCCACGTTTACGACCAACTTCCTTATTCTTTTGTCCATTAGCCTCTAACTTAGTCTTGACAACTTATTTAACAACTACCGTCTTCTCAACCATATTCTCAACAGCCACACTAACTTCAGGCGCCTAAGGAAATTGATAAACTAGATAGAAGGGTGATTTTCTTGGAATTGAGTGTACAACGTTGTTGTAAGAAACTTCGACCTGAGACAAACTAAATCCCACTCTTTTGGCTTGTCCTAGTAAAAACTCTAAATCATACTCGCCACTGTTCTGTTAGTTACCTCATTTTTTCCATCTGTTTGAAGATGAGCTTTAGAACTCCCATTCAACACGATTCTAAAAAATATCCCGAGAGTAATCCAAAAATGACTAAGAAATTTGGCATCCCTTTCTGAAGTAATTGACGTAGGAACCCCGTGAAGACACACAACCTCCCTGAAAAAAAAATTTCTATGTTGGACGCACCAATATTTTTCTTACAAGCAATAAAGTGTGTCATCTTGGAGAATCTGTCTACTACAATGAACACAGAATCTACACCTCATTGTGTACGAGGCAAGCCCAAAACAAAATCCATGGATAAATCTTGTCAAATATCATCATAAATATGTAAAGACATATAAAGACCAATATTTTGAGACTGGCCTTTAAAAAACTAACAAGTATAACATCTCTTGACTATAGCACCAACGTCTCTACTCAAGTGTGGCCAATAATAATTCTCCTTCAAGCTAGAAATGGTCTTGTCTCTACCCAGATGACCGCCAAGACCACCACCATGCAGCTATCAAATTAACTTCTCTCTTAAGGACATGCAAGGAATGCATAACCGACCTCCTTTAAAAAGATAGCCATCTCGAATATGAAAATCTGCACAAGGATGATTTCCACTGCATTTGGTCCATAAATCCTTGAATTCAACATCACTTTCATACAACTCTTTCAGGAAGTCAAAGTATATTATTTCTTGCGATAGTTTAATTATTAAGGAAGTCCTCCTACTCAATGCATCCGCTACCTTATTAAGAGCCCTCGACTTATGCTGAATGATAAAAGGAAATTTATGCAGAAAACTCACCCAACGAGCATGCATCTTGTTTATTATGTTTTGGGTGTGAATAAAATTTAAAGATTGATGGTCAGTGAACATAATGAACTCCTTCTGAACCAAATAATGATTCCACTTGCGCATAACTCTAAAAACTACATAGAATTCCTGATCAAAAGTACTCCATTTTTTAGCAAGCATCACTTAATTTCTCGTTGAAAAAAGGCCACTAGTTTCTTATCTTGAGATAACATAGCTTCTATTCCCACTCCACGAGCATCACATTCAACCTGGAACACTTTTTAAAAATTAGGAAGTGCTATTACTGGGAAAGTACACAACTTCTTCTTAATAAATGTGAAACTCCGCTCCTGCTCAAGCCCCTAATTCAACTTACCTTTCTTCAAACATTTAGTAATATGTGTAGTGATAATACTGAAGTCCTTGATAAACATCCTATAGAAGGTAGTCATACCATGAAAGCTACAAACCTCAATCACTGATCTATGTGCAGGATAATCCATGATATCACTGACCTTATCTTCATCAACATGAATCCCTTATTCACCAAAAATAAATCTTAGGAAGAGTAATTTGTTGGAATTGAATGTACACTTTTTTAGACTAATGTACAACATTATATTTTGTAACACTTGCAACACCTGTTACAAATGCTCTAGATGCTCTTTCTTGGTCTTACTATAAATATGAAACCATCAAAATAAAACACTACAAAAGAACCAGTAGATGGATGCAGAACCTGATTCATAAATATCATGAATGTGCTAGGGGCATTTGATAACCCAAAAGGCATCACGAACCACTCATACAATCTATCTTTGCTCTAGAAAACTATTTTCCATTTATCTCATCGATCTAATCTAATGATATCCACTACGCAGATCTATATTCGATAACACCTTAGAACTTGATATCTCATCAAGCATGTATTCCAAATGGGGAATTAGGAATCAATACTTGATAGTTATATTAATGATGGCTCTACTGTCGACTCACATTCACCACTGATTTCTTTTCTTAAGGACTAGAAGACTGGTACTGCACAGGCACTCATGCTCTCATGAATGAATTCTTTCTTCAACAAATTCTTAATCTATTCCCTTAAAATCTCATTCTCCTTAGGGATCATATGATACCGAGGAAGGTTTGGTAGGATAGACCCCGAAATAAGGTCAATTTGATGTTAATACATCATATATGATGCAAATTGTTTGGTAATTCCTCAGTGAATAACTCCTTGAAATCCTCTAGGATCTATAACCCCTCTTTTGGAATTTTTGTTTCCTCGTTTACAACACTCATCATCCATTTAATCACCACTGGACAGAAACATTCAGTTTCTCAGCCTCATCAAGCTCCTTTTCACTCCACGTCATCACTAAGAAACTATACTTTTATTCCTTCCTAGAATTTTATCAAAGTGCAAAATAGGAGACATACTAATTTTATGTGTGCCCCATGTTAACATTATCACATTATCGTGTTTTTAATAAGTGATATTATTATTAAACTTTCACAGTCTACCAAGTAAAATATGACAAAGATTCATATTAAGAACATCACAACATACCTCTTCTCTGTAATGTTTTCCGATGGAGACAAGAGCTCTATAGGCCAACATCACTCGAACTTGGGAGGCCTTGCTTACCCAACCGAGGGTTATGAATTCTAATGGGGTTTTATGGACAAATTAAAATAATTTACCAATTTCTGTGACACCAGATTCTGCATGCCGCCATTATCGATGATCCGATTACACACTTTATTGTTGATAGAACAACATGTTATGAACAAATTATTATGCAACTCTTCATATTTGGGTGCTAGTAAAGTTCTCTGCAACACAAAATTTACTCGCTCATCAGATTCTTCCTCTGCATATTAATTGTTCTTAACTGAAGATCCTTCACTTTCCTCCTCCTCCATCATTTCTTTTGCAACAACAACGACTTTCCTTGTTGAACAAACATTTGATATGTGACCTTTTCCATTACAATAATATTATGTGGCTTTAGTGGGTGTATTATATGAATTATTCTTCCTCTAGACTGGTGTTTTACCCTATTGAACATCACTGGAACTGCTAGCCCCTTATTTCCAAGATTGAGATCCTTGGTTGTTGCACTTTTTAACTTGTCACCTATTGATTCAAAGTTATTTTGAGGCGAATACCTTCTAAAAGATGAGAAATTTCGAGGGGATTTCTCCATCAATTCTGCCTTCAAAGCTACAATGGGTGCCTCATACTCGGTCGATACAATTTGTGAACACATATTCTCCTACAAGGATCCCTTTAAGACACTAATGTATCGAGCCACTTGTTGGATCTCTAATTCTCCCAATTCATCGCGCTTAGAAAAGTGCAGGAACTCAACTGTGTATTCTGTCACAATTCTCTGGCCTTGAACACACTCAATATACATCTAATAAATAATAAATTCATAGTCCTTCAATAACGACCCCTACAACTTCAATTCTTTCACTATTTACTAAGTTCTGACTGTCCTTTTCCTTTGCCTCTGCCTATGGACAACACGTTTATCCCACTAGATAACAACAATGTGAAGAAGTGAAAAACACAAGAAGGGGGGTTGAATTGTAAAACTTGAAATCAAATGCAGACAACACGTTATTTTTATCCTGGTTCGTTTGATCTCAAACTACTCCAGTCCACCCGTCAAGGTGATTTCGCCTCTCTCCAACAAGGTCTTAATCCACTATATTCAACTGAATATTACAACTGCTTTAACAACTGCTAAAGCCTTCTTGAGTCAAAACCACAA